GACCATGGGAATGCTGCAACGGCTGTAAGTGTGAAAAAAAAGGTCATAAGTCCATTGTAACTTTGGTCACTAAATGATCTGTTGTAAGTCAAGGACTATCTATACTTCTTGTCGTTTGGAGAATACGTCAATCCTCTCTTTTCTGTGCCCAGTATTGCAAGACCACTATCAAGTATTGGAGGAACATTATCATGCCCCCCCAACCTAAAATAAACCTTTAATGTAAAAGTACTTAAGATTGGGGATATTTTATCTTTATCTTTGCAAATTCCAATGCAAAAAAAAAAAAAAAAAATACAGAAACACCAAATTAAATCAGGGCTTGGATCATGATCTACCATTTGACAAGTTTTGACTTCCCCACTTCACCCTGAGGTCAATAGTGGCTGCCCTTTGGATGTTGCTGTTTTCAGGTCCTGATAAAGAATCAAAATGTGGGAGAGAAAATTTGTTTAAGAATCCACATTTTGAGATCCCGATTTGTGTGGATTTGAGGGAAGATCTGGGTGAATTTTAAACAAAGCTGAAGACAACTGAAGAAAAGGAACAGAGCTATCCTACGACTGAATATATGAATAAGTGGCTGCAAAATGTATTTAATTCATCTTCCCTGTTGTTTGATGAGCCAATACAGAAATTCCCTGCAGGGCTGGGACTGAGACGTATCAAATCACAGCATCTGCCTCTTATTGTAAGAGAAAACTCTTCTAATCCAGACTCTTAGGTCCTACGAGGTCTCCCAGTATTTAGTCTGCCATGTCCACAAATTGGCTTCTTGGATCCTTTCACCAAAGTCCTGCATAAACCATCAGCAGATGGCTTGGCTGCTGATGTGCAGTTGCTCCAAAGCGATGCTGGCTGGGGGAATTCTGGGGGTTGAAGTCCACATGGCTTAAAGTTGCTAAAGTTGAGAAGTGCTGTGCCAAAGCTAGATGGAAAAGGAGAGCTGGAACAAGTCAAGTAAATGGCTGAACTTCCCAAAGTATCCTTCCCAGTCTGGGCTTCTCTCCAAACGTCAGTGCCTAACATCTCCTGCAACAGCTACACTAGCTGGGGAACTCTGGAAGTCCACACATCTGAATGGCATCTAGTTTTCAGGGCTCTGAGACACATCCCTTAGACGCAGTGTTTCTCAACCTTGACAATTTTAAGGCATGTGGACTTCAACTCCCAGAATTCCACAGCCAGCATTGCTGGCTGTGGAATTCTGGGAGTTGAAGTCCACATGCCTTAAAATTGTCAAGGTTGAGAAACACTGCAGAGCTCTTCGTAATCCTCAAGGATTAGTTCCATTCTCCATTATATGGCCCGTTTGGAACTTTTTGTTTGTGTCTCTTCTCAAATTGACTAGCAATAGCACTAACATTAGCAATGGCATTTAAACTTATATGCCACTTCACAGTGCTTTATAGCCCTCTCTAAACAGTTTACAGAGTCAGCATTTTGCCCCCAACAATCTGGGTCCTCCTTTAACCAAGCTCAGAAGGATGCAAGGCTCAGTCAATCTTGAGCCAGACAGGATCAAAATCCTGACAGTGGGCAGAGTTAGCCTGCAATACTGCATTCTAACCACTGTGCCATTACGGTTCTTGTGCCCCTACAAACAACCCCGAGTCATCAATCTTCCCTATTCATTGGCAATATCTACAACACTAAATATACATCTATTCATGTATACATCCTTCTGAGTTATTCTCCATTTACTGCGGAGATGAAAGATCAGAACCTGCTCCAGATGCTGTTAACATTGGGCATATGCTAAGCATTAAAGAGATGAGTCTAACCTCAACAGTGTCCACATGTTCACTGTTCATAGAGTACTCAGAAAGGAAGAGATAATACAAGGCTTCCTCAATTAGCCTTGGAGGAGCAGAGTCATGTTAATCTATGGTAGCAAAAAATTAAAAGTCTGGCACAGTAGAAGGCATAAGTCACTTCTGCAGAAAGAAATGGCGGGCTGAAGATGGTTCCATGAAAAGCGGAGTCAAAAACCAAACAATGAACAGCTGGCAAGTAGACTGTCTTTTCAAAAAGTCTCCAGACAAAAACAGGATGAAAGATAACCCACAAGGGCTCCCGATAATTGTTTTGAATAATAATAAAACATAATAAGTTTTTTTTAAAACTGGACATTAAATTTCAATGGAAGGAGAACAGATAAAATTGGATAGCAGTTATAGAATGGTGCAAAAACACTGGAAATATTGAAAGACCCTTTGGAAAAATGAAGTCAAAAGTTAATATTAACTATGTCAGCAGCAATATCTGTCTCTACGCATAGGCTGTGTCTAAAAGTTGTTATGTATGAGGAACACATTTTACTTTGCAAGACCGAGACTGAATTGAGGGTGGATTTATAAATGACAGGCTAAAAAAATGACATGGAAAAAGAAGAAGAAAGTGGCTGATGTTTTAATAATTAAGAGGGAAATACAAACAATAAATCAAAAAAGGTATCCGGATAATTTTAGCTTATTGGACTTACAGTTGAGACTTTTTACAAGTTTTGAAGGCTCTTGTGAGAAAGAATAAAGAAGAAAAAATTAAGTGCTACGACATTATTTGGATGGACTAAAAATTAAGACATATAAAGTTGGCCTATTTGATGTTTTTATTCATATCTCGAAATGTCTGTTGACTAAAAATAAAAAAATAGTACAGGCTTCAGGCAGCAGCAAACTAGATGTATGTTGTCATTTAAGAGGAGGTGAACTTTGGAAGTAAAATGTTTTCTTTTTCTTTGTTATATTTTTTCTTTTTTTTTCTTTTTTTTCCTTTTCCCATTTTCACTGTCTCAATAATTTTTCTATCTTTGTAAATATGTGTTTTCACTATTGCAGTTACAATCCTTGATAAAATTACTTTTTAAAAAAAGAAGGCCTAAGTTTCAGATCATAAAATCTTACACCTCTTAATAAAATGGTTAGTCAGAAGGAGTGCTACCAGATCTCCCCCTGATTTTTCAATTAGCCTGGGTCACCTTAGATCAACTGAGACGCTGACAGAGTTTGCATTCCAGAGATGCTCAGAGTGACTCTGAGTGACACAGGTTGGGCTGTTCCCATGACTGAGGTTTTCTGCAACTCAGAAACCCAGCGGGGGCAGTTGTTCTGCCCTTGCCATTTTTGTCAAGGTGTAGTTTCAGGCAGCAATGGGTGGAATGCTTGCTGTCTTCTACTCTTCCACATCAACCGCTCACCTCTTTCTATTGCATGGATAGGTGGGGAGGGATAGCAGTGTGAAATAGGGGTGCTTCAAGGAAACCCAACAATGAGCAAATAGTCCTTGTAATCTTGAGATTGGTTTGCCATGGATTAAGGCGGTCTTCCAGTTTTGTCTATAGTTGGCCAGGATGCTATCTGAGTTGGTGTAGGCAACCTTGGCTCTTTTATGATTCGTGGACTTCAACTCCCAGAATTCCTGAGCCAGCATGGCTCAGCTTGGAAACCTCTCCCCTTCCCCTCAGCATGGCTGGCTCAGGAATTCTGGGAGTTGAAGTCCACGAGTCATAAAAGAGCCAAGGTTGCCTACCCCTGGTGTACAGGAATGCAAAAAAAAAAAAAAATGTCAAAAAAGGAAGGAAAACAACATGGAATGAAAATTAAGATTTATGGGATTCCATTATGTTCTTCAGAAAAGACTAGAAGAACCATCCCTTCCACTCCAGTTATCCTTCCTATTGTTAGGTTTATCTTGGGAGCTTCTGCATCTCTTGAACTTCAGATAGCAAACAGGACCAGCCTAGTAAATCCAAGGGATTGCTCCAATACTTTTTGGAGAGGGGAGATTGGTTTGGACATGGAACTCTCAGTCTCCTACAACAGGGGTCCCCAACCCCCAGTCCATGGACCGGTACCGGTCCATGGCATGCCAGCAACCAGTCCGCACAAATAAGTGAAGCCCCATCCATGGGAAGCAGGCAGCACATGAAACTACACCCCCTCCGGTCTGCGAAAAAACCTCTCTCCATGGCACTGGTCCCTGGTGCCCAAAAGGTTGGGGGCCTCTGCCCTACAAGACCTGATCCTATGTCTAACCCTTCCTAATATATACATAAAGACTGCACAAGCCAGATGTTCTGTCTACTCTTCAACCAAAGGCAAAATGGAAAAGAGTGAATTGCCCAGTGACCAAACCAGATGGGAACAAGCATGTAGAAGATCTAAGAGGGCAACAGGCACTGGATCATTCCCAACTACGTCAGGCCCAACACCGCTGAATAAGACAAGAATTTGACCGATTTCTCTATGACGTCTTTAGTACTTGTGTGGGGAAAATATGGAATCTTGGAAACTATCTTAGAAATTTTTCCAACCTCATTTGCAGTGAATCAGTTTAGGCAAGTCTCTTTGTGTACTTTGAGATCTTTTTCCAGAACTTTTTTCATTTGGACTGAGTTTTATTTATGAGATGAATTGTTAAGTGACTGATCTGCCATCTTCTGACATCAGTATTCTCTTCCTTTCCTTTCTCTGCCTCCCCACAATCTCCTATAGCCTCTGGCTGCATCATCATCAACAACATTACCAAGGCACTGTAGAGGGTCCATATGCTACGATTTGTGTCAGAAGAAGAAAACCCTTTTACATCAGAAAAACTAGAGCCAATTCTAGCCTGATATAGCAGAGGTGGGGGATGAAACAGAGAGGACATCATAACTTGTTCCTCAAAAATAAAAAATAAAAATAATATGGGCTTCATGCAGGAACAAGTTAGATGTAGGGATGAGCAATCGAGAGAAAATAAAATAAGGTTTGATTTGATTTTTCAACCACCTACTGCAAATTAATAGCCTCCAAGACTTCAGTTCCCACTATCATCATGTAGCACGGGCAAAAATTAGCATTTGTCCAATTATACTCCAAAAAGGGACCAGAAATCTGTCTATATCTTTGTGGGCAGGAAAGGTTCATCTCTATTCTAACATAAAATGGAGTCATAGAGAACTTCTGAGTCTAAGTGTACTAAAAATAAGGGGAGGGGGGGGAAGGCTTCCTTACCAAACTCACTGGCGCACAGGTGCTCCAGGATGGCCTCCGACTTCATTTCATTGTCACAAGGGGGACACACAGCAGTGCCTGGCAAGAGAAGGGGGACACATCAAGCAAGGGAAAGTAACAACAGCATGAAAGAAGAACAAGTACCCATATAGACAAATAGACCAAATTGAACTACTAATAAGCCCAAGCGGTTCCTGCTCTTAATGGTATCAGTGCATTGCATTCAAGTTGCAGCTCCTTATTTTGTCCTTAAGTAATGAAGCCCAGCTTAAATGCAAGGCTGTCATTGCACCTACCCAGAAGGAAAACACCGAGATGAGTAGGGATCTCTTGGGAAACTAATAAGTACTGTTGTAATGCAATCCCTCCTTTATTATAGAGGAGGTAAATTGAGAGTTTCGTAGCTAGTTCCAGCCAACAGAGCAGCCATGTGGTGAACAGGAGGGTTTCCCCACAGCCATTGTGTGACAGGGCCCACAACATGACCTCTTAACAGTTGAGATCAATCACTGACTGCAAAAGATTATCCAACACAGAAATCTTTCAGGCTCACCGGAAACCGGGAAAAGCCGCATCCACCACTGAGATCTTGTTCTGTTGACTTCAGCTACAAAACACAGATGCTTGCCACCTCCCTTCTCTTCTGCACAGTTTGCCAAGATCGGCAACAGGATTCGAAAAGCGAAATCATTTTTTTTCTCTTTCATCTGCCGCTTGACACTGGAATAGTTTTCCCTCTTCGCAACTCACTCCCATTCCTGTTCAGCTTTCATCTTTGTTCATTCCTCCTAAGCTGTTTACATAGCACCTGAAGTCAGCTATAAGAAATGTAGTGGGAAGCTATGAGATTTGCTAAGCAGGAATTCCAAAGAAAACATCCTTTCCTAGTTGAAACTTAACATTCAACCTCCAGCAAGTCGAGTGGAGAATGGAGTCTTATCTGAATCTTTCTTGGTGGTGTTTGCAGATGGCATGGATGGATGATGGATGGTGCATGTTTGCAGATGGCATGGATGGATGATGGATGGATGGATGGGTGGGTGGGTGGGTGGGTGGGTGGAAGGAAAGAAAGGAGGGAGGGAGGGAGGGAGGGAGGGAGGGAGGGAGGGAAGGAAGGAAGGAAGGAAGGAAGGAAGGAAGGAAGGAAGGAAGGAGGGAGGGAAGGAACTTTATTGGCCAACTGTGATAGACAGACAAGGAATTAGAGGAGCAAGATGAAGATCCATCTTCACACAATATATTAAATCCCAAATCTACATTAACTCAATACAGTCACTGTATTCATGTAACATGGTTCCTACTTAATGCTAAGGACACTAGTAACTGAAGGACTGATCCTAAGCTACCCAATGCCATTTTAGCCTAGCCTACAAGGTTGTGTGAAACCAACGACTTTTTTTTAAATAAATTTTTATTTTATTCAAAAGATTAAAATCCAAAATCCAAAAGAAAAAAATGAATAAACACAAAACAAAAACAGACACAAAGATATAAAAATGTGAACTAAAGGGCAATCCCCACCCCCTATATATAATAGTTAACAGGTTAAACAACAGCAAAGATAAACATCAAGGCCTTCTGTTAAGAATCTCTTATTTTAATTTACTGGAAGAAAGTTTACAAGTTTTCTTACCTACCACAAATCACTCCAATGAACCTCAATGACATTTATTACCCAGACTTCTGCCTAATATGGCCTTCCCAAAAAAACAATTCTCTTGTGTATTGGCACTGCAACTCAAAGGGAGAATACTGATTGGGGAATTCTCCAGAACTCCAGAACATCTGGAATTCTGGAAAATGGTATCTGAAGACAAATCTGACTGTCCTCAAGCCAGTTCCTTTCTGAGAGGGCCGTGCTGAGATCATATAATGATTTTCAGAAAAGAACGCTTTTGTGAACCCCTGTCACCAAATGCCATTCTATCAGAATGGAGAAGTGTGAGGTTTCTTTCTACTTCATCTTTCCACCCACAAGAAGACCAACGTTCAAATATCCTCACTTAGTCAGGAAAGTCTCCGGGTGACCCTGGGTCAGGGCAGGGCACTGTCTTAAAGCTAAGAGCCACAATTCAACCCCCTCCCCAACCTTCCCAGGGGCCACAGAAGGCTGAGGTGGGAGCAGGAGCCCCTCCCAGAGGCAAAGAATTTCTATCCCCACCCTTAAGATCACCCCATCCTCTCCCAAAAGTCTACTGTGTTGAAATCCAGATGTTTAGCTGCAGAAATTCAGCAGGGTGGTCTTACAGCACCGAGGGGACCCTGGCCCATCACCTGCTCACTCTTACTCTGGGACAGGGGTCTTCAAACTTGCCAGCTTTAAGCCTGGCTGAGGAATTCTGGGAGTTGAAGTCCACAAGCCTTCAACGTGCCATGTTTGAAGACCCCTGCTCTAGGACAACCCTGTTTAGGACAATCTTAATCTTACCTGTGCATAAAATTATACAAATATTCCTTGACTTACCACCACCACCACTGGGCCCAACATTTTCATCGCTAAGCAAGGCAGTTGCTTAGTGAGTTGTGCCCCATTTTATGACTTTTTTTGGCCACAGTTGGCAAAATTCTGGGAATTGAAGTCCACAAGTCATAAAAGAACCAAGTTCGAAGACCCCTGATTTATGCTTTTCTCATGAGGAAGAAGCTCAGTCAGCTGAAAACCTATTAACTATCTCTAAACTCCTTCTTTGGCATTTGCTCTGTGTGTGCAGTGTGTGTGTGTGTGTGTGTGTGTGTGTGTGATTGTGTGTGAGAGAGCATGAATGAGTGCTTCCTTTCTCACCCCTGGCCTGTAGGAAGTAAAATGCTATCCATAGGATTAGCGGTTACATCTGCCACAAAAACATAATAAATGAAAAAGAAATAAATCTGTCTTTTGCCCTCCCCGACATTATATTTACTTGCAGACTTAAATGTGTGTATGTGTGTGTATTTCAATTCCCATCTGCCCAAATCAGCTTGTGGTCAGGGCTGATGGGAATTGTAATCCACAGCACCTGGTAGAGGCCAGACGGGAATGAATGAATAAGTGAATTTGAAAGAAACTCTCCTTTTTTGACAGCTGAGACCTTTGAGTAATTTTTTTATGGTACAATGATTTCATAATAAAATACCACAGCAAATTCTTCTAGTACTAAAATATTTTTTTAATATATGAAACCCATGGATGAATACTTAAATAAGCTGTAGGAACAATGGGTGGAGAATGGTTGAGCCCTACATCACTGGGTTTATACATTGTTCTGAATCATGGACTGCTGTAGCTGTTCTTAAATAAACCATAATGTAACCATAATCTTGGAATTCTGAGGGGAGTCAAAAGCCCTCAAAACTCACGTCAACCTTTACAGCAGAAAATTAGCAACGTGATTTCCTACCGTTTTGCAGTGGAATCTTTCTAAAACAAAACTTTTTAAAAAATAAATCTCCTTTCCATGGAATATCCTTCCTTTTTTAATGTATTATTTATATCATTTTAGCCATTGTCTCTCCACTGCAGGATGAAGGCCTCCTCCGCAGGTTTCCAACCTATACGGTCCCAAGCTGTCTTTTGCCATTTGGGACTGCCATACTTGTTGATGTCGGTGATCCATCTTATTTTAGATCTCTTTCGTGGACACTTTTGATCAAGCGGAATCCGTTCTATGACTGCCTTGGTCCACCTGCCCTCAGTTCTTCTTGCTATGTGGCCGACCCATTTCCATTCCTGTTCTTTTACTGTCTTGATGGCATCGTATACTATTCTTTATTCTCTGATCCATGTGCGGGTCTTTCTATCTTGTCGTGTGATGCCGAGCTTGTCTCTTTCCACTCGTAGCTTTTGTATCATGAGGTTGGTGTCCATGTTTCACCAGCACATATTAGGTAACACACACATTTATTCTTTTATTGCTTTTAAAATGTAACCTGAAATATGGGATTCAGTAACAGTATAACAGACTTGGAAGGGACTTTGGAGATCTTCTAGTCCAACCCCCTATTTGAGCAGGAGATCTTATACTATTCCAGACAAATGGCTGTCCAGTCACTTTTTAAAATCCTCATGATGGAGCACCCACAGCTTCTTGAAAGCCATTCCACTGACTGATTTCACTGTCAGGAAAATTCTCCTTAATTCTAAGTTGGAGCATTCTTGATAAATTTCCATCCAGTACTTCTTGCCATGCCTTCAGGTGCTTCGGAGAATAGATCATCCCCTCCTCAACACCGTAGATTTTTTTAAAAAAATGAAAATAAAATAGGACAATTTTCTTAGTATTAATAAATAACTGACTGTCCAGGACTTCCAACTCAAACCTAAATCCATGATTCTCCTACCCAAAGGGGAGTGAATCATAATCTAACTTAGTTTCTGGTCTGCTAGATGCCGAAACAAAATAAATTTATACATATATTTAAACTCACCCCTTCAAAAAAAATATAATATCCAAGCTATGGAAAAACAGAAAAAGCCCTGATTTCTTTTATGCCTCACCGTCCAAAAACACTACCATTTGTGTTCCTTCCCCACGAAACCCACTGGATGAGGTCTATGACAAGTCCTTTCCTTTCCATCTTTTGCAAACTATCACCTTACCCGTCGTATCCTGTTCTAATTTGGCACCAAATTTTAATCAGGAAAAATATCTACGTCTCTCAAAGGACTGGATTTGTAAAATTGGCAGCTTATACCTGAAACCAATACGAGTGGGGTGAGGGGGGAGCAGTGTGTCCCGTTTTGTGTGTTTTGTTTTAAAGGAGATTTTGGTGCCTTTACGGCTAAGACAAACAGCCAAAGCAAAACTCCCGTCAATCAACTCCTAGTTTCCAGCTACGGAGCAGTTATGAAAATAACTTTTTCTTCACAAGAGGTTAGTTTGAAAAAAAAAAAAAGTAGTAACTCTAAATACTGCCTTCTGCTATGGAATGCAAAGTATTGTTTTACATTTGGACCCTGATGTCCGCTTATTCAGAAACCTTGGATAGTATAGGAATGTTAACTTTTTAAAGATGCACAGATTTCATACCTAATGGGGAAAACGGAGAGGCCAATTGTTCAGATAGCCTCTTTAAACTACTTTTTCCAACTCGCTGGCAAAAATTGCATGTAAAATGGAGGAGTCAGAATCCAGGTCAAGGAAATTTGCATAAGGGTTGCCTGGCCTTGGTCTATGCTAATAGGGGATTATGGGAATTGAAGTCCTTCCTGTTTGGGTGGGAATGCCGGTTCCCTACACACTAACATAACGGTGACCTGTTCTGCTACAAGAGCACGCAGAGAGTCCTCATCTTACAACTGTTTAGCAACAGTTCAAATTACAACAGTCTTGAAAAAAGTGACTTACAGTCCTTGAACTTACAACCGTCGCAGCATCCCCACAATCACACATTCAGTATTCGGCCACTTGGCAACAGGCATCTATTTACAACAAGGAGCAAAGAGATGGAGTTGAAGGCTTTGGTAGCCCATTCCAATTCTACATTTCCTGGCTTCTAAGTGGAAAAATATATAGGACATTCTTGAGTTGCAATCGCTTTCATCAGCTATCCTACTAACTGCTTAATTTTATACATGCAAGTGGAGGGCGGGCAGGGTACATGTGACCGTATTACCTGCCCAGGATCCATTTCCTTGAGTTTGACCTCTTGGATTCATGTTTTTCTGCTTAATATTGCATTTTGACTATTAACACAAACATACACACATATATCCAAATGCATGGGGAGAAAAACCAGCTGGATCATGTTCAAGGAGCCTTGCTGAGTGGTGCTTTGTTAAAGTTTCTGATTTTGGGCCACTTCCCTACAGATATGAGAACAGTATTCTATTTTCACAACAGCTCTGAGGTCGAGTGTCCAGGAAGTTATGTTGTTTAAGCAAAGTTGCCAGTGCAAGATTTAAGCAACTCAGTACCCATGTCCCTCTCCAACGTGATGCGTTCATATCCAAAGAGTCTAAGCACAATGTACTGGGGGGGGGCACCAGTTTGACGAAGGTCAAGCCCCTAACTGTACTTCAAAGACTAAGGCTGAAAAGGCATCCCAAGGCAGCCCAGAGTGTAAATTCCAAACAGCCAAGGAGAAACTATCAGGATCATAGCAATACCAAGGTAATGTATTTCCAAAACGTTGGAAAGATTTCCCATATAATGTTATGCATTTAGACATAGTAAAACATGCCAGATATAGAGTTTCTGTATCTGGCATGTTTTACTATGTCTAAATGCATATTATACGGGAAATCTTTCCAACATTTTGGAAATACATTACCTTAGTATTGCTGTAATCCTGACAGTGCAGAGAAAGGGAGAGTAAAGAAAGTGGCTTATTAAATATCTTCTTCTATGCATGCTTTACCAGATAAACATTGCAAGCAGCACACACATAAAGGACTTCTTTGGACTTATTTAAAGTCCAAAGTTCAAACTGCTTGGTGACCAGTTCCAGCACTGGTTTCTTTACATCAATTATCTCCAATGTCTTGCAACTGCAACTCCCATAATTCCTAATGAGCAAGGAGAATCTGCTGGTTGAAATTATACAAATCAACATTGGAGGGCATAAGGGAAGAATGACACCAGTTTGGGAAAGGATCCTATAGTCCAGTGATGGCAAACCTTTTAGAGACCGAGTGCCCAAATTGCAACCCAAAACCCACTTATGCATCGTCAGGTGCTGGGTGGGTATGGCCCATTGGGTGGGCATGGCTGCGGTGGTAACGGCAGACTGGGTGGGACTAAAAAGTTCAATCAATCAATTCCAACTTTGCAAGATCTTTTTTTTCCCACAAGAAGTTGAAATTGACTGATTGATTGAACCTTTTTTTTTTTTTTTTTTTGCACATGGCGGCGGAGGCCTAAAGCGAAAAGGTTTTATAAAACTCAGCTGAAGGTCTAGGACTGGGGGACGGCGCGCGTGCCCACCGAGAGGGCTCTGAGTGCCGCCTCTGGCACCCGTGCCATAGATTCGCCACCACTGCTATAGTCACTCTCACTTTTTGTACAACATGGTTACAAGCACCACCCAGCAAAATCACTGAAGGAGTTTGTCAATAGCAGCTATTTACCCTAAAAGTCAACCAAAACCTCCAGCTGCAAAAGCAGTTGGGGTTAGGGCTTGCCTTCAGGGATAAGGCAGGGATAAGGCCCAGGACCCATAATTTAGGAGGAAGCCAAACAGGCATCCAGAAAAGTATCCTTACCTGGACTGGGAAGAGCACAGAGCTGGGAACTCGTGTTTGAAATATTCAGTAGGGAATCTTTTTTCTTTATCCATTAATAATACAGCAGAGTTGGAAGGAAACCAACAACAGAGGCTGACTTTATTCTCTTTATCTTTGAAATAAAGAAGTGCTTATCGGAACTGGGAGAATGCAGCTTAAATCTTCATCACAGAGGGGCAACTTTAAGCCAATCAGGATTTCTCAGTTTCTGTCTACCAGTTGGGTAGGGCGAAGAAGTACTAGATGCAATATAATCACACAAATCCGTGCTGGGTTCGCCAACATCCAGGCTCCAAAAGAATCAGGTCATTTATGGTTCAGCATCCTGTGGGAAGCCAGCCATGGATTTTAGCATGTAGTATAAACCAGGTCATCACATGATGCTAAATAGGATTGATCTGTCTGGGCACAGCAGGCATTATAAACAAGGCACTTTATGCTTTGTTAGCCCAGGTTGAGCATTAAGCCAATGTGTTGATTAGCAGACCAGCCAGGACTAAATCCTTGTCTATGTCTGGAGTTGTTGGTCCTATGAAGAGGCTCTTGTCTTAATTAATAAGTAAGGGCAACAATCAATTGCTTGTTTTTGTTTTTGTTTTTTGCTCTCACATTCTGAGAACACAGAACAAGCTGTAACAGAGAAATGTATGTAGAGATCCCCAAAAGCTACTAAGATTCCAAAATTACTCAAACACTGCTGCAGAAATGGGAAATTGTTTCTTTGAAGCTCTCCTCTCCCTCCTGTCTACTTTTGGGGAGCACAACTGCATGAACCTTCTTCAGCAACATTCTCGGGAAGCTGCCAAGTCTAATAATTAATCCTGTTACTGTTAGCAATGTCTGCCATAACTGCAATTAGTATTGGCACCATTGGCACCATCAACTTTACAGACAGTCTAACATTGAGGCTGAAATCCTCAGCAAGCAGAATCTGTCCTTAATCACTCAGCTACAGCCATTCCCTTCTTAACCTCACACATGAACTCAATTTAGAATGGGTGGGCTATTGGGTTACTCAATCCAGAAGAGTCTTTTCCATCCTCCTTCCAGCTTTGATGTGCTTCAGAGATGTAGACCAATTTGGTGTAACCACTGCTAACAGTTCTAGGAACTAAAGACCAAATAATCAGAAAGTGATGAAGTTATGGAATAATATTCTATTCCAGTGTTTCTCAATTTTGGCAACTTTTAAGACATGAGGACAGGCTGGCTGGGGAATTCTGGGAGTTGAAATCCACATGTTTGAAAGTTCCAAATTTGAGAAACACTTCTATTCATTACTGAAGACCTTGAAGTGGAAATGGTGTTAATGGGAAGATGGGACCCAGCTGGATCATAATATTACGGATTCTCCCTAAACATTCAGAAGGCCTTCTTCTTGGGTCTTGCTTTAAGATGGCCACCAGGAGCTATCATCTCACCTCCTCTTCCCAGCAGGACCATCTCTGAGCAGCTCCAAGCGAGGCCAAGGTAGAGAAAAAAGATGCTGCTAAGGACTAAAGCTTACCTTGAGGCTTCGAAGCCTCCGTAGCGTTGGGGGCCGTCATGGCAATGCAGACATCGTCCTGGGGAAACTGGTCACACTTCAGCATCTCGGGCCAGTAGAATCCAAAGAACTGCATGACCGGCTCGCAAGAGTCGCGCACGGCCTCGCAGAGCCAACGGCAGGGGTAGATGGGTCGGTCCAAGCAAATGGGGGCAAAGAGAGAACAAAGGAAGAGCTGGGTGCCAAAATGGCAGTTCTTGTTGAGCAAAGGCACCCAACTGCTGGCTTGCTGCTTGACCTCGGCCATGGTCTCGTGGTCCAGCAGGTTGGGCAAGACCATCTTGTCGTAGCCCACGCTGTGGCAGAGGCGCAGGTCAGCCGGGATGGCCACGCACTGCGGGGGCTTGGTGTAGAAGCGTCCACTTTGGTAGGAGCTGATGTCCGACTGGAAGCTCACGTAGTCGTACTCGTTGGCCCTGGCCAGGCCGGGCAGGAGGAAGAGGCCGAAGGTTGCCCAGAGCATCCACAGGGCATCCCAGCTGGCATCTTGGGGGTGGAAGACGAGGCCCATGCTGGAAGAGGACCGAGGGCAAGGTTGCAATACCGGCGGTGGCCCGGACGCCGCCTGCCTGGCTTCTTCTTCCAGGCGCTCGGGGGTCGTGGGGAGGGGCTGCAAAAAGCGATTCACCCCAACTTAACCCAGGAGAAGCCGGGTGGGAGCAAACGGGGGACCCCCCGCTCGAGTCAAGGCGTCCGGACGGCTCCTCCAGCCGCCTCTCACTTGCCTCGCCGGTCGGGGCAGCCCAGCCCAGCGCAGCCTCCCTGCCCGGCGGACTCCGAAGCAACAGCCGGCGCCGAGAGCGGCCACCAAAGAGCACTTTCTCCGCTGGAGTTTCAGAGCCCCTTTTCTCCGCCAGCCAATCCGCGGCGAGCTACTCCCCACCCTTTTCAGCCCTCCTCACCCCCCCCCCGGTCCGGGCTACAAGTGTCACTCAATTAGCCAATCGCCTCTCCGCCGTGGGCCCCCTCCCCTCCCCTCGGCGCGGGGGGGGAGGCGGCAGCCGAGCGCTTTTCAGCCCGCGGGGTTCCGCTCCGCTTCCCCCCCCCCCAGGTGGGCGGCGGGGGCGAGCGCGGGCTTTGGGGAGCGTCCGCTGACACAGAAGGAACCGTCCACGCGGGGATTCGCGCGCGTGGGGGGATAGTCGGGCCGCCGCCGCACACCCCCCCCTCCTTTCCACGGCTGGCTTCCTCAGAGGTCAGCCCGGGGAGCGCCCTGCTTGTCGCGCCTGGGTTTGCGCTGAGGGGAGCCTCGGCTTCCCTGCGGCGGCTAAACGGCCCGCGACGTCTTGTCCTCGCCCCGCGCGCTTGAGCCATAAATCCCGGTTGCAAATCACGGGCCGGCCCGACGCCACCAAACAGAGCAGAGGAGGGCTTAGTAAGAGGTGTTAATGTACTAAGTAGAGTCCTGGAGGAGATCAACCCCGACTGCTCTTTAGAAGGCCAGATCCTGAAGATGAAACTCAAGTACTTTGGCCACCTAATGAGAAGGAAGGACTCCCTGGAGAAGAGCCTAATGCTGGGAAAGATGGAGGGCAATAGAAGGGGACGACAGAGAATGAGGTGGCTGGATGGAGTCCCTGAAGCAGTAGGCGTGAGCTTCAAGGGACTCCAGAAGATGGCAGAGGACAGGAAAGCCTGGAGGAATGTGGTCCATGGGGTCGCGATGGGTCCGACACGACTTCGCAACCAACAATAACAAGAGTCCCCTGCTAATAAGTTGACGTACTTCTTGGGAAGGGGTCCTTGAAGCTGGGCTTCTCTAAGCCCACCTTTGGGGCAGGTTTGAGCTCAGGCCAATCTTGGCCTTCTGAAGGAAAACACAGTGGCCCATGGATTGGAAGAGGTCAAGCCAGAGTCTGCAAGAAGGAGCCTTAAGCAGTGTGCCAACTGTTGTTGTGGCAATGTGTTAATTTCGTAGACTAGCGAAAGGGCGTTTGGGATCATCCAATGCAGGTTGCAGCCCTGCTGGGAAAAAAAGTGAGGACAATTAACCAGTAGAACAGCTTGCCTCCAGAAATCGTGGGCGCTCCATCACTGGAGATTTTTAAGAAGAGACTGGACAGTCACTTGTCTGAAATGGAGGCTGTATTAAAAGACCTCCAAGGTCCCTTCCAGATTCTATTCTATTCTATTCTATTCTATTCTATTCTATTCTATTCTATTCTATTCTAAATAACAGGTAAGAATTACATCATAGCTACAGTTCATAGTACTAATGAACTCTAACCTGGCAGAATGTTTATGCAGTCATGAAAAAAAATGTAATGCAAAACAGAATTTACTTAGTGTAAGTACATAAGTAAAAGGGGGGAAAAATCAGAGGTGCAATCACAAAATGTTTCATATCAGGAATACAGTTGGGCAGAAGGACCCAAAAGAACCTCCATGCTATTCTCATTCCCTGCTCCTGGATATAGTCTGCAATGCCAAGTTATATTTCCCTGTTTTGCTTGGCACTACATCAAATAAATCACTGGGTTGCTCCCAGTTCTTTTCTTCTACCCCTCCCCCCAAAGAAAACAAATTTCTGAGAATCTACTCCTTCCTGGAAATCCAGAAATTCCTTTGGAGAGAGGGACAGTTAGTCTAAGAAGCTGCTGAAGGTTGACCCTCTGGCAACTTGCCAGTCTATCATTTTTTCCTTACTTTCTGATGATGGAACCATTACATCCAGAGGTAATGGGTGGGTGGGAAGGTTGGGTCTTTCAGTCCATGGGAGACTCAGTGTGCTCCATTCCAATTACTGCATTGCCAGGAATTAAGGATCATCTTACCCTAATTGTAGTTGTGAACAGGAAAGAGAAATAAAAATCACCTGGATTAATCCTAAAGAAATTGACCAGAGTCTAAGTTAGTTTGAGGTTGATTGACTCCCTTTGAGGAGCAGATTTTTTAGGGCAGGGATGTCTAACGTTGGCGACTTTTAAGACCTGTGGACTTCATCTTCCAGAATTCCCCAGCCAGCATGGGAATTTGAAATCCACAGGTCTTAAAGTTGCCAAGCTTGGACACCCCTGCTTTAGGGGATGTTTTGCCTTGTGTTTGCTGGCTAGCTTTGGGGAAAGGTCAATCCATTCAGCAGCTGCCCATCCCATCTTCTCCAAAACCTCTGTGAGGTCCTGACACTCAGCCAGTCCAGGAAGTGTCAGGCAGAGTGTTAGTCCCTCCCTAATTTGGAAGCTTGCTGGGAGGTCTCCCTTCCACTTGCATCCCACAGCACCAACTTCCCAGTTCTGCTTCTGCTTGGAATGCTCGTTTAGAATACATCTGGGGAAGTTGGCTTGAGTCATTGTGCATCCAAGAATTGGCAAGGGCCAAGAAGCAGACAGGCTGCTGCTCCTGCTCTTGCAACAGCATTTGTGGCCCAAAAAAAAAAAAAATAAATCTGTTGTGCATAAGGCAGAGATGCAGAAACACAAGGAGGGAGCTGGAGGGAATGGTCTCAAGGGGGTGCCAATATTACTGTGCTTTTTTGTGAGGACAAATCTACACCAGCAGCAGCAGATCATCAGTCAGGTCCCATTGGCTAGCATTTGAATTAATCTTTTTCCAACAGAGGGGAGAAGGCAAGAGAGCTTAGCAAGTTACTACGTGTACCCAGCCAACTGTGGCTTATCCAACAGAATGCGGTTAAAGAATTCATAGCTTGGCAACAATGTACGTACCCAGTTACTAAGGCAAATCCCATTCAGGTTAGCACGATGCATAAAGTTTGGGTCCATCTGGCTGGTAGTGTTGATTCTCCAGAATTTATGCAGGAATTTTCCAGTCCTCGGAAATACAAAGGTTGGAACATGTGACTTCTTGCATGCCAGCATGCATTCCATCACTGAGCCTCAATCAGGCTCTACAGCTGAGTTTCAGAGGTTTTGGGCATCGTCTTCCATCAGTTTTTACCAGCATGCCTCTTGGCAAGGCATTGGAAATGGAGTCCAAAATATCTAATGGTCCCATAACATCCACCCACCCCAGAGAGGGGCCTATCAGACAAAGAAGATCTTGTGGGACCCACAAGGAAGTGGACCTGTTCTGTTGCTCTGCCTGCCCTTTGTAACCTCAAACTTTCATTGGCCCCAACCCTTGCCATCTTTTGGGAAGGCTCTTAAGAGTGGATGTGTTCTCCAGTATGAGGTTTGGAGGCCCCGTGATGTGGTTATTGCTTATCTACATTGATTTGGCTCCTTTGTTGTTGTTTATATTTTGTAGTATCCTTATCCTTCTCATCTTTCCTTTTACCTATTCCTATTGGTATTTTTGTTGGTAATATCGTATGATGTATGATTTATCCCTTTGTTGCTTATATGTACGTCAAGAACACCAGAGACAAATTTCTTGTGTATCCAAACACACTTGGCCAATAAAGAATATTCTACTTTATTTTATTTTTATATATTATTGTATTGCAAGATGGCTAAATTACCACAATTAGAGGAGTAGAGTAGAGTAGAGTAGAGTAAAATAGGAGCTGGAAGGGACCTTAGAGGTCTTCTAGTCCACCCCCCTGCTTAAGCAGGAGAACAAGTGACTGTCTAGCCTCTTCTTAAAAATCTCCAGTGATGGAGCACCCACGATTTCTGGAGGCAAGCTGTTCCACTGGTTAATTGTCCTCACTGTCAGGAAGTTTCTCCTCAATTCCAGGTTGCTTCTCTCTTTGATCAGTTTTCAACCATTGTTTCTCGTCCTCCCCTCTGGTGCTTTGGGGAAGGGAGGGGGGAGGGGGGAGGGAAGGAGGAAGGAAGGAAGGAAGGAAGGAAGGAAGGAAGGAAGGAAGGAAGGAAGGAAGGAAGGAAGGAAGGAAGGAAGGAAGGAAGGAATTTGCAAGGGACTAGTTGCCAATGACTAACTCTAATCCCCCCAACAGAAGCAGGAATGAGTAATAGCAGGCATGCCCCATTTGAACTGGAAACAGCTGAGCAGCAACTTACACTGCAGACTCTATGCCATCTAGTGGGCCATCTAGATTTTTGTAGCTTCAATGATGGTAGACTTATCTCATGAGCTTATATATAGCAATAGCACTTAGACTTATAGTTCTGCAAAGAAAAAACAAATACAAAAGGAAGGGTTTTCACCAAAGAAGGTGAATATATGTGTCCCAGGATAATGTTGCAGGATCCAATCTGGATTGGGCACCAGGACCAGAGTTTTAGTCTTCCGAACTTTTGGACTCATGCTGGAGCTCATCCCCACGGAACGTGTCTCTAGCTAGTTCCCTGCAAATGGGCTCCAACACAAGTCCAAAAGCTCGGGAGACAAAACCGTCTCTGGTCCCGGTAACCAATCCAGATTGGATCCTACAAGAAGGGTTTTGTTTACTCAGCCCCTTGTTTTTTACTCAGCCTGTATCAAGCTCCAACTAAGAACTGGCAGAAATTGCCTTCTGCCCTCAAAATGAGATCCAATCCATGATTTGCCTTTTGAGAACAGTGATGCTAAATATTGCCATTAATTCAAAACAGATGAGCCCTGAGCCTTACACGCCATATAGTGCCAGATGACCTGACCTTTGGGACTTGTTGAAAGTCGCCCTGAAATTTACCAGAAGCATTGCAACTTCTATAAAGATTTAAGATGTATTTATGGCAGGTCCATAAATAATATTGGCTGTGGTTTTCTCTGCCAACCTAAGCATATGAATTAGATTTAGTGGCAAGGGGCGAACTGTGTTCGAATGTTGGGCAGATGTATCTGGGGAAGGGGAGGATATCATTAGACGTTCTTGCTATTACCCATCTTCCATTTAGTTGATTGTATAAATACAGTACGGCCCATCTACAGAAGGTTTTAATTTTCTGTACGGGGAGGGCAGTATTACTTTTCCTCTTTTTGTTGTGAATTTCTACTTAGCATTTATATG